GCAAAAAAAAATTGATTACGAATATAATCCGGGTTTTCAAAACATCCATTAGTTTTTGTTTGATTATTTCGGAAATGTAGAATGTAATAATATTTACTCGTATAAACGAGGAATATTTTACCAAACAATTTTGATTTATAGCAATGGTTAATGAGTTTCTTCAGAAATGGTTTTCAGTGAGTTAAACAATTTTTTTTTTCGTTACTGAATTTGACCTAATAGTTTCAAATGGCTATTAAAATGTCCTCATTTTTTTTTCAGTTAGCTGGTTCTGTGGTCCTAGCTGTTGGTATCTGGTTAGCTGTGGATAAAAATTCCTTCGTAGGACTGAGCAAAATCGTTCCCAGCGACCATGTCCAGGTAAGGAAGCGTAAACGATTACAATCGAGCCGAATTCCGGCCATTTATCTTTTTACAATTAGTTGTGGAAGAAAAAGAAACTTTCACTTTTCACGCTACAATAATCAAAAATCACGTTTTTGTTTACATTTTTACGTAAGTGTTTTTTTTCGGCCTAGAGAACGAATTGATTGAAGGGGTGCAGAACGCGTGTTGCATTCATTGCAACCCTTCGCATACCATTAAGGGTCGATGACCCTTTATCACTAGTAGAAAATGATTCATTTTCGTAAAATATCTCGCACGTTTAATTTTTACAAATTTGGAACTATTCACGCAAGGGAATCGAATCGAAATTAATTACTTGTTTTGTTCACTTGTCAAATTTTGATAAATATGATAATCACGTGACCTTTACCTTTAATTCAAGAAAAAAAGAACAATAAAGTCGTAACGTAACGGTTTCTACTTTCAAAAACCGTGTTAATGTTGTAAAAATGAAATTTCTCGCGACACAACCAAAGTCATAAATGTTGGTATTGTGTTCCTAAACCACGGATAATTAATGAAGCGGAGAAATGCACGTTTATCTACCGCAAACAAACGACAGTCGGGTCATGTAAACATAAGTCTGTTGTTTTGTATGATCTCAACTGTAATTTACAGAGAAGTAATTTCAAGTTTTTTTCTTGTAACTGTAATTTTTATTATTTAATCATTTAATTCAGTATTTGATTAAAAAGAAAATGTTTCAGAGAATTTTTCGAATTTTGTGTAATTCACTGTCATTTCTCAATGTTAAAAATTTACTTTCAAACACTGTAATTTAATATTTATTTTCTCCAATTATACACAATTGTTGGTTAGAAGAGTTCGAGGATGTGGTTGTTTTTAGATGCATTTTTAAGTATTGTAATAAACAAAAATCAATAATATTTTAAAGTTGTGATTTTAGAAAGCTCTAGAAAAAAAAACCGAAAACTTTAACCCTATATTTCCGTTTATAGTCTGAATTATGGTTTTTTGAGACCCTCTGTATATTCAGAATTGTTTGTCAAAAGGTATGTGATGTTTTGGTAAATTTACAATTTATGCGTAGGTATTTACTGTATTAAAATATAGTTTTTTTTACAACGTATGTCGCCACTTTATTGCAAATAATATTATTTTTGTATTTTGACAAATGTCACAAATGTTATTACTTATTAGTAAACAGCAATAGTGTTTAATTCTTATCTTTTTTTTATTTATATTAGTAATTTCTACATCGTACATTGTAAACGATGAGAATTTGAAATTTCCACTACTAACTGCACTAGTCAAATTAATAAACATTTTCGAAAATTTCAACACAAATTCCGATACTGCTGCAAGATATTTGTTTATAAGCGTTGTAATGATTTAATTACTTACAAAGTGTACGATTATTTTGTTCATTTACTTGCTAATTATAGTGTTGTTCTTTACATTTGATTTTAATTCGTTTTCGGATAAAATAGTATATGAGTTTATGGGGTTCAGCTGAATTATTTGCCTCACTGCGTTCAGCTTTGCAAAACAAATTATCATATTTACTCTCTAATAACATACAGGATGCGCCAGAACTCGCGCCCTAGAGAAAAATGCCATATAAGGTAAGATATAAATTTTATCTATAAAAATTTCGAAGTTATGAGGGTTTAAAGTTTGCACTTTGACTCTATTTATTTCTGTTGGAAAAATAATTTTACAAGTTTTTTTGCTATTCTAAATTGTAACTTTGTTAAATGTTATTTGTCGCTTTTATTGACAAAATTTTTGTCCCTTTACTAAATAATTGTAAAAAAAACATATACAAGATCATCAGTATCATTAAATAGATATAAAAAAATTTCAAATGTCAAAATTTTTTGACCTTACTTGAAAATTTTCTTTGGGGCGCGAGTTCTGGTGCACCCTGTATATTTTTTTAAGGTTGTAAAAAGAATTAATCTCTGATTACACTAAACATCAAACAATAGAATTTTTAATTTCAGCATTTTTATTGTAGAAAACTTTTCCAATTTTCACAGTGAACGAACTAAAAACACGCTAACCTCTGACACAGTGCGATTTCGCTTGAAATTAAATTCTATTTTCCAACAATAATAATAAAAGACTAGAATATAATAATAATTAGTGTCAGTTTTTTGCCACTCCTAGTTTAATGGAAATTATAATTTGCACACAACTACAATGAATATAATTAACCATTTTAGTGATTTTGTCTCTTCATGAAACAAAAACAACAATTTGGTATCTACTAAAAGCAAATAACAATCGGTTCAAGTAAACATAATTTTAATCTTAAATGATATCAATTTCGTACACGGAAACAATTCGTGTTTGTTCAATTTATAATTCATCAAAATTGTAACAGTATGTTTTTTAATTATTAATGGAAAAATAGATGGGACAAGATAAAAAGTCGAGAAATGTAGTTTACAAAACAATCCGGGGCCATTGACTGCATTCTTGTGAATAATTTACGAAAAAATGAGTCGATTTTATAGGAAACGCTTGTCGTGAATATTAAATAAAGCAATTTAATATTTAATTATTGCGAATTTCTTCGAAGCAAGTTAAAAGGTCAATTGATAACAATTGGATTTATTTCACCTCTTCTAGCAATTTATCCAACCTGCCGTCATCGAGCAAGGGGCTTATATTTTGATCGCCGTGGGAGGTTTCATGTTTATCGTGAGCTTTTTGGGCTATTGTGGAGCTTTAAGGGAATCTCAATGTCTTTTAACAACGGTAAGTCGAAAAATTCGTGTAATAAGGTTAGAAGAAGTGGTGCAAGGTGATGCATTTATTATTCATGTCGAATTGTGGGTGGGGTAAATAGATTAATTTTCCTCATTACGCCACTTTGAAATGAATATTAATACGAAATCAAGCAGCAAGGTTGAGGAAAAAATACGTATTTAGGATGTATAGCAATAAAAAACCCCTTGTAAAGCTAAATTGGAATTAATTTAAGAGTTAAATGTGGGCGACCGTTCTCATAATTGGATGAATGCGTGTTTAGTCTGCGGTCCGGTTTGACTTGTCTGTGTTTTTTGTAGTATGGCATTTGTCTTTTGGTAATTTTGATTGCCGAAATCGCCGTCGCTTGTCTCACAGTGGCCTACAAGCCGAAGGTAAGGCAGCCGATTGAAATTTTCGTGTCTTTAAAGAAAGTATTTTTCTAGGCGGAGGAGGAAACACGAAAATTACTCAAATCAACGATTGAAAATTACTACTCTCCACCGGAGAATAAAGACGCCGTGACGTTAATGTGGGACCACCTCCAAGCCAACTTGAAATGTTGTGGCGTTAATAATTACACCGATTATCGGAGCAGCACGAAATGGACAAATAGTGGGAAAGTGATTCCTGAATCGTGTTGTGTCTTAGAAGGAGATCCTTTGAAGTTGAAACCGAAAGTCCCGTCGTGTGTGACGAGTCCGAACGAAGTGAATTCTTATTATAAACAGGTGAATATCGCAAATTGTGGAAATGTTAGTCATTCAATTTTTTTTTACAGGGTTGCTTCGATGCCCTCGTCCATTGGGTCATGATACACGTTGATATTGTCATAGGTGTCGCTGTTGGTTTGGGTTTGCTCGAATTAGTCGGGATATTTCTAGCGTTTTGTCTAGCTAAAGCCCTCAACGGGTATATAAAATAAGAAGCTTGTGACCAAGCTTTCAATTATGTTAATCTAGTCGTTACGTTTTATTGTTGTGTACAACTTGTATGTATATATTTAGTTCATTTTTCGAAAGAATTCAGTATTATTGTAACAGTGCCTTTCTAACTTTTGCACTTTGAAATGACTTTTCTATGTAACCCGAAATAAAACAAAAATCTGTTTATTTGATTTAATATTTACAAAATACACTATTGTGGCCCCATCATGCCCATAGGCATGGAGACTGGATACCCTGGTTGTCCCCCTTGTTGCATTTGCATTGCTGGTGATTGAATTTGTGGTACGCCCCCTTGTGCTGGACTTTGTTGTGGTTCAGTTGGTAGCACTAGATTGAGGAGGAGTTCCCTCAAAGCTGGGAAAATTGAACATTCGGAGATATTCGACTGGAATTGGGCGAAATGTTTGAGGAGTTGACTGGCAGCTGCCATGCCTGGAACAGGCCCCGCCTCCCTTTTCTCAGCCAATTGAGTCATATTTGAATTGACGTCATAAATAAAAGGGAGGACTAGAGAGGGCGGTTCCATGTTTGGGGGGTACTGGATTCCAATTCGGGTGATTTGCAACTACAAATTTTCATTAGGGAAATTAAAATCAATGATAATGAGACTTACAAAAAATAGGATTTTTGCTCGATAGACTAGCACTCCTGACATTCCTGTAGGAACGATGGGAGTGGCTGAGGGAGGTATCCGGAGCATCCATTGGACCGACCATTTCATGCCTTGTTGTTGGATTAGACCAGGCATTAACTCTAGTTTCATAATCTGTATGAAATCTTTGAGGACGTTGACTGGGACGTTCAACATTGTACAAAAAGTGAACATTGCAGTTGGCTTGTAAGGGGGCGCTGCTGCTCGCGTGTCGAAGAATTTCTCCAAAACTTGGAGTTCTTCCGATGTCCACACGTCCTTGTGTTCGGGCAATGGTGTGATTTTGAGATGGAGGCTTTGCAAGTGTTGGGGGTTCAAGCCGATTCGGCATTGGAGTATTTCTGTGACTTTAAAGTGGATTACGCCTAGTTCGGTGTTAGGTATTGCAGTTAACTGTAAATGCCCGAATAATTAACTATTAAAAAATATTTGAAACGTTACACTTACGTAATTTTCAGTATGAATGAACCTCTGTAATTGTCTTCTCATATACACACACCCGAGGAACCTCTCCAAGGGCGCTAATTCCGGCCCTGGTAACCCCTGTGGATGCATTGACGGACAACACAACGTCTCTAACGCTTCATGTGTTAATAAGGTGGGCACAGCTCCCGCCCACGACCTTTGGGGCAAAACCCTAGATAAGTGACTCCCCGTCCTCATATCCCCACTTTGCGGACTATGCATTATGGGATGACCTCCTGGTGATTGTCCAGGCCTCGCTGGTGACGGTCTCGGCATACTCGGCGACCCCGGCCAATTGGACGCCGCTGGTGAGGCCATACTCTGCGACGAGGGAAACGGACTCCCGTCTGTATGACCCGCAGCCATAAAACTGCTCACCGGACTATGACCCGGAAGACTGGTTGAGACCGGTCCGGGTGAAGAATTCGACAACAAACCACCCGGACTCGGCAATTGTGGATTCAACGGCGAATTGGCCACAAGTCCACTAGGACTCGGATTAATATTCGTCGGGAGTGAAGTAGGCGATGAGAGATTGAAGGACGTTGCAGGACTCGATCCGAAACTAGTATGAGTCTGATTCATGGTGTGTGGGCTAGCGGGGGTGTGGGGGTTGGAACCGGAGGGAGGAGTTAGTGGCGGGTGGAACCTGAGACCGGGTTCACGTGTGCCAGCGGGTGATTGGGGGCCTCGGTGGTGGCCCAAAAAGCCGCCACCGCTGCCTCCACCTTCGACTTCCATCGAAACAGGCGAGGGTGGGTTGTCGTCTTCGGATTGCGATCGACGTCGGAAGACAGCCGTTTCGTCGACGTATTTCGAGAGGAAGGCTTTGAGGCCTTGAGTCGGAGAGAAGACGTCGACGACGTTACTGCGGTCGAAGCGGCTGTAAGCACCATCACGGAGGGAGACCAGACCTGCGCCACGAATGCGAAGTTCAAGGCAGTACATCCCTTGGTAGGCGAGACGGATGAGAGTGCACGATTGGGCCATTATGGTGAAGGTTTGGACGGGGACTTGAGGGCGCTACAAGAAAATCCAATACCACATTTGAATTGAATCATTAAAGAAAAGAAAACAATTACTGCTAAGGCCTAATGAAACTAATTTCCTGACTTTCTACAAAAGACGTCTCTGAAGATTTAATTTAATTACTTAATTAAAGTAAAACATTTAAATCGACACACTTGAACTAGAAAAGCTGATTTCGGTCAGGGTTTCAATTAATTAGTCAATTTCGACCACTTCCGTTTGATTGATTGATTACATTAAGACGACAGATATCTGAAGAAAGTTTAATTGCTTAATTAACCACAGGCCCAGTCACAATTATTCAATAAATTTTTCATGATTAAATATCATCGTATTAATAAAATTCTAGAATTAAGAGCGCGGACTCAAACATACAGCTTGTTAAAGATTCCATGGCGCTGCAGTCGACGAAAAGTGAATACATTTTTTTGAAACTTAATAAAATATCTAATAGGTGGCAGTAAAATGGTACAAAGAGGGTATGTACTTCGTTCTTATTGGCTGTTCATAACCTCACTAAAATAGGCTAGCACTATTTCAAAACCTTCGAACTACAAAAAGTTAGTAGAAGATTTTAGCCCACGATTTTCCTTTCTTTCCGATTTCCTCTATCACATCACATTTTTTAACAATTCACAATATAGTAAAATTTACAAAATTACACCATTTCAACAAACCCAACTCATCATTCTATGAACAAAAAAATACTTCCTCTGTCCAGAAATAAGTTGTTTCAAAAATTAAAAAAGGCGGCTTTGCTTCTAAAACTACAGTCATTTTAAAAACACTTTTTATACAGGGTGTTTCACATAACTTTACGAGGCTTGCGCCTAATGTACGCACCCAAATATACAGGGTGATTCTTAAATAGACCGACAAAATTTTATCACAGCTTCCTAAGAATAAATGGAGACAAACTGTACCCTTTTTACGTTTATACCTTTTAAGGGCAAAACCCCTTGATCCGTTCCACTTACGGCGTTTATGAATTGTTGTAATGACCAAGTACATTTTCAATACCATAATACCATGGTTTCCACTACCTGTGCTAACACATCTGTGGCGTACGCTTTACTTCGAAACTAACTTTAATAACTTTTATTTGGAGAACGAATTTTTTAAATATTTTTTCCAGTATGTTCTCATTTGATACTACTAAGGATAAAATTTTGCCGGTCTATTTAAGAATCACCCTGTATAAAAGTCACAGAACACTGGATACAAAAGATACACATTTAATTATTTAATTTTTGGAAACCCATGCCAAAAGTTATTAAACTAATCACTGTTACATTAATAGTCATAAACTGCAGTATTTCAAAAACAATTATCATTTGTTCTATCAAGAGACAGCACGAATATGATTCTAGTTTATCTTAATCACTAACTAACTAAAAACGTTGTAATTTTTGAAAGGGTGAACAAACTAGAAAAGATTATGCAATTTTTCAAAATTTGTAATCGAATTCGTATCGGAATATGTATTATTGATTGAATCTTACAGGCGCAGGCCTCGTAAAATTATGTGAAACACCCTTTATATGAAGTTTTTGACAGCAACTAAAATGTGTCGTAGTTTTCCTTAGAAGATAACTTTTTAATCGAAAAACAGAAATTTTCAAGACCTGATATAAAGCTCCAACCTATGAAAATAGTAGGAAAAGAAAATATTTTGGCAAACAACGATAGTAAAAAGCCTAATTTAACTTTAAACAAAAGGCAAGCGAATTGAATTCTGACACTTTGAATAATGTTTTTCTTTCTCACCAGCTGTGTATAGTACAAAACATGAGAGTAAATAGAGGTAACAATTATAAAGTAATTCGTATAAAAAAAAGACCATGCTTCCAATTTCTATAAAGTTTGATTTTGGACTTTAGTGTTATAGAATGTGAGCGTTCTGTAAGTAAAAATCAACCAAGAATATTGTTACTTACATAATAAATCATAGAAAAAGAAAATTGATTTGTTCAAACACTTACCGTATTCTGTATCCCCAACTGCGGAAGTGTCGGCAGTTTACTTATCGAAATCAAGGGTTCATACGTCTCATGCAACAATTGAATAATTTGTGCCAAGTTTCGATGTTCATTTAGATGACTTTCCAACTGTTCCCTAATCAACGAATGTGCATTAATCGCATTATTCGTTGCACCAAACGCCAATTTGAACGCTTTCTCCCCACTATTCCATATTATTGAAACCATTGCACCTTTATCAGGCCCATAACACAACACTAACTTACTATAATTGTAAGATTTAATACTGAACATGTTCGATAAATTATATTTATCTGAAACAAGAGATTGATTACCGTTACGACAAATTTAAATCCAAACTTACCGCCTTTTAAGTATTCACTTAAGTCATGTACTATGGTATACAAGTGTACAATTTGATACCAATCGCTCAAAAGTGAATCAACAGTACGCGAAGTGGCATCAATTGTAGCCATATCATATTGGAAATATACCGGTCGGCGTGACCCTATAAAAATATTATAACACAGTTTCCTGTATTACCGACTCACCTTGCTCCTTTGGATGCGTACTCGTTAACGGCGTTGAATAAAACACAAACTCGGTCATCCAACTCTTCATCATGCCTTTACTCAAAACTCTGATTGACACTGTCAACAATCTCTTTAATAAGGCATGCCATGCCGGTGAAACCCCGATTTCGGATGTCGGCGGTGGTAATTGTATCAATTTCAGCACCAAACCGGTCGCATTTGCTTCGACTTGCAAGCCTTGATGAAAAATACAGCGTTTATTCAATTCATTTGCAAGACTCACATATGGTAATCGTTCATCGCACATGGCCACGACATGAGCCAACTCGGCTATAAAGTAGGCGGGTTGTTTGGAACGCCTTGGAGGCGGTTCCGGTTTAATCCCACCTTTGCGTTTCAAACAATTCAATTCGGTGTGATCTGAATCTGTGTTGTCGATTGAAGTGAAAGGACCATGAGTGGCTACAAAAGTATCAAACTCAATTAAAGTCTGTACTTTGAGGTAGACTTTCGGGATTTCGGTTTCAATAGTGTCATCATCAGGATTATCCTCAATGCTTGAGGGTTTAACAACGGCCATGTGGAAAGCACAATCGACTTCACACATCGATGATTCTTTTTCTTTCAATTCTACAATCAGGACAACATTTGGGTGTCTATGAAGTTGCATATACATCCGATGTCGCCCGATTTTCGTCAAGGGATGATCAGCGTGATGCAAAAGTGGTAATCGTTCGTGCGCAGTCGCTGGCAGATGTTGCAAAGTCTTCTCACATCGTCTTTGAGTGATCCAAAATCGCAATTCGCTTATCAAAACCGGCAATTTCGAGTGATCGCCGTTGAGGGCGTTGTTAAGTTCGGGCACGAGGGGCGGGTCGTATTGTGGCACGTGACATTGTAACATTCCAGTGTGGGTGTCGACGGTGATGAGGAGTTGTTCGGCGCGAAGACACGGCTGGAGTATTGCAATGGAGAGGATGGCAGGGGAGCCTTGAAGGTTGCATTCGACTTCTTTGACCATACCTTGAAGTTCGAGTTTGATGTCGCTGAGACGGCTACGTGTACGGACGTAGATGGTGTGCACGAGAAGACGTTCCATGGAGAGGATTTCGGAGCGGATGGCACGATCAGCGATTTCGCTCTCTTTGTTTCCGAGTGAGGGGACGTGGAGGACGGCGAGGGGACGAGCCGGGTCATGGACGTCCACTTGAATGGTGAGGCGGTAGCCGAGCTCAGAGCGGAGGTCTTTGTTGGCGGATTCTTTGCCTTTTGTTGTTAATTCCCTAAAAAAATGTTACATATTTTCATTTGCAGTAAACGAGTGTGATGATTCAGATGACGAGGTCGTTGACTTTCTCTTAATATTGCGAAAAATTGCAACTAAATATTCTACAGCGAAAAATAACACTAGTAAAAAAATTAAATTACATAAATACAGGGTTATTCACTGTAGAATTACCGCAAAAATTTAATGTTATGCAATACAAAATACGGTTTAAAGTTTATAATCCACGATGGATCATTGCCAATTATTGTAGATTCTTAATAGAGAAAATTATAGAAAAAAAAATAACACATTGATTTAGAATGACTTAAAATCGAAAAAATACACCTTTTACATTAATTTTGTCCATTTCTGCTGTTTTATACCATGCGATCAAAAAAAAGATAAATTAGAGTAGGCGACGATTAATATTCTACAGTTGGCAACACGTTGGCTGGGAATCTGGGCACGCAAACTGAAAGTAAAAATGACCATTCACCGTTTTCGTCTTGTATAGTAATAAAAATTTTCTGCTCTAAAGTAAACATTATTTCACTCAAACTGAATAAAAGGCAAACTTGTCAAAATTTCCTCTGACATTTAATGTCAAAAAAATTTGATGGCAAAGATTACTTACTTAAAATAAAAGTTTCCTGTTCCTTAAAGTTTTTGTCTAACATTGATTTCTTCCAATATTTCTTCTTATAATCTTACAGAGAGAATTAAATATCATTTTGACTTTTAAATGAAATTACTTTGATTTCTTATTTGTAAAACATTAAACATGGTTCTAGTAACTTGAGCTTTTTGTATTTTGTTTTGCATAACATAAAATTTTCGTGGGAAGTCCACCGTGAATAACACTATAAGAGTATAAAAAATAAAATAAAAATAATGTAATTGTCAGAAAAATAAGCGCTTTCAATGGCTCACAAAGCCAGTACAAATTCATAAAGACCCCTGTATATCGTTTATTTGAAAAATCTGTGTTATTTTTCGATGTAGCTTATGTAGTTTTATACAATTTAGAAAAACAGCCCTGTATACATAATTTTATCTACAATTGGCGACAACTAAAAAGAAATCTAATTTTATAAAGATTTTAATAATCTTTTAATGAATGAAATTTTTAGATTATGGTAACCGCACAAACTTGTCATTTTAACACTCCTTTGTTTCAATGAGGTATTTTGTTTGTTTTTATTAATACTTACAATTGTACTTATGACAATTTTATATTTATTTTTACATAAATCATTACTAAATCTAATACAGGGCATAAAATTAAAATCGTTGGTATTTTTGGATGTAGTTTTTAATGCTGATATTTAAATATTGAATTACAGTTACTTTTCTTCAAAAAAAAATTATTGTTCATCGTGAAACACTGCTTTACAGGCTATGGTTTGCAAACTTTTAACACATTGTTTGCTGCAAAAATTCTTTTTGTTCCTGTTTTGGCTGTTTTTTTTTACGTTTTTTAGCTTCATCATTGATTGCTACGTATTTTGAAAAAACAAAACAGTTTTGAGAATCTTCCGCTAAAGGAAATTAAAGAAAACCATAGAAAATATTCTATTCTATTGAAAAATACTTTCATCAAAATCACTATTTACTTAAATGTACATACTTTTAATTAAACTTAATTTGTTAACGTACCAAAATAAAATAAAAATAAAATATGAGACTTTTTAACAATATTTTTCATTTTCATCAACTTAACTTTGATCAGAAGTTTAATTACTAATTACTAATTGTAAATAAAAAAAATTCCTGAAGGTCTTTCTGTTGCAATGATGAATTTAAATTGTTATTTCTGGTTTTTTGTATATTTTAAGATAGTGTTTGTGGCTTTCTTCTTAGTAATCTGAGTAGGGAGGATAACGAGGAGACTTTTCCACTTTCAGTTAAGAAACCATTTAGGAAATTTCTCGAAAATTAGGATTTTCATATTGTGTTACAAGGTTAAACAAAGTTAAACTTAACAAAGTGATATATGTCCTAGTCGCGCATTTAGTTAATTCAATATAGAATTGCTAAATTTTTTGAAAATGGGGCTTTCGATTTTTAATACCATACCTACCTCCAATACGACACTGTTAAACATTTCCCTGGTATATACTCGTCGACATGAATATGGTCGTCCAACCTGTCCCTCATTAGACGCAAAGTTTGCGAGTACAAAACCTCTAGTTGCAACGATTGACAAAAAAAATGTAAACAATTGTAAACTTCAGTTAACGGTTGAGGATTATCCACGAGACGTGTTTGAATCAACTGATGAATGTACTGAATTTGCAAAGAGTGGACTAAAGCCTTGCCATCTCCAGTTTCCTTATCTTCAACCAAAACATCTATTTCTAGTAATCTCCATGGGATGTTAGCGCCGTCACCCATCACAGTTAGGGACACTTCAAATTCGTGTTGGACATGAAAGGTAACACGCCCATTTTCGATCTAAAAAAATTGAAGTTAATTACTTCAACCAATTGTAACAAAAAAAAGTCAAGTCGTGACAACTTGACAAATTTTATATCATTTTGTTCGTCTCAGTGAGACAAATCAAAATTTCAAAAAAGTCCACACACTTTGAACTAATTAATTTTTTTCTAATTTAAATGAATTTAAAATACTTTAACTTTAAAAAATCATTACTCAATAACTACTAGGCCGATTTCCTTCAAATAAAGTCCATTCCAAAGGGATGGCCTTGCCCTTTAGAATGATATAAAATTTGAAATTGAATATTGGCAAACTTTTCTTCGAACAGTGTTCGAAGAAGTTCGAAGTAATCTAAGAAAAACCCTACGAGCAATTTTTTTATCTTCCTCACCATCATGTAGAGCATCTTTTTATTAGTAGAAATCCAAATTTTCAAAATAATATGCCGAGTAGTTTTTAAAATATGATTTTTTGAAGTTAAGGTTTGCGCCATATAGGAGAAATGCATGTTAATCTTACTTAAAATTGCATTTTTATAAAAGTATTTGTTTTAAGACTCTTCTTTTGCTTAAAAATGGTCAATTGCACCTTCTTTGTTCTAATTAGAATAAACAAAAACTGTTTCTTTACTTAAATAGTATATTAAAGAACAAGTTTTATAAGGGTTGATTTGGCGCACGAATCCCAAGTGCGCCAATGCCATTATAAAACGAGTATTTTATGCTATTTTTTCTTATTTTAATTAAAAAAAAAATATTTTTGTTGCCTAGAGAATTTTGTGTTAGTTGGTATCGGTTGGTAACACTCTGCGCCCACCTGTTTTTTTGCGTCATTTCTGCCGTCTGTCATTAAAAATAAAATTTACAAATTATTAGTTATTAGTGTTACAACATAATAATAATAAATAAAATATGAGAAACAGAATTTAGTTTGCATTCCGCCCGAAATTCGCCAAATTRTCGAAGCAACAACGCAAAATTTGTTACCTGACAAGTCAGAAGCGGCATCCAAAAACTAAATAACCCTAAATTCATTAAAGCACAGTGTGCTTTTATAGATAGCCATAAACGACTCCTACTGGAGACGTTAATAAACGTATTTTAAACGCAAATTAGAAAAACAAACAAAGAGTACCTAGGTACTAATTAAAGCAAATAAAGAGTTTTTTTGTTCTAAAAATGATCACTGATCATTGAGCAAAAAGGATCTAGAATTTTAAAGCAGTAGCTTTAAATATAAGAACAAATCTTTTTCAAATTAAATCACCTTCCGTTCAGATTCAAATTTGTTCACTTTGTTCTAGCTTTCTGAACTTTTTTTTTGAAATCATTACCATCGTGTATCTCTTTATTATTTGTAATCCGAATTTTGAAAAGAATATACCGAGTAGTTTCCAAGATATGATTTTTTGGAGTTAAGGTTTGCTAATCAAGCATTGCTCCATACAAGAGAAATGCATGTTAATCTTACTTAAAATTACATTTTTATAAAAGTATTTGTTTTAAGACTCTTCTATTGCTTAAAAATGGTCAATTGCACTTTCTTTGTTCTAATTAGAATAAACAAAAATTGTTTGTTTACTTAAAATAAACAAAGAGTGTCTGCGTACTAATTAAAGCAAATAAAGAGTTTTGTTTGTTGTAAAAATGACCACTGATCATTGTGCAAAGAGGATCTACAAGTTTAAGGCACGAGTCTTAAATATAAGGGCAAATCTTTTTCAAATCAAATCACTTTCCATTCAGATTTCGACTTGTTCACTTTGTTCTATCTTTCTGAACTTTTTTTGAAAATGTTTTAAGCAAATGCTTTCTCATCACTTTCGAGTGATGTTAAATGCAATAAGTCACCTGATTTATTTTGTTGGTACGATTAGCTTCAGTTAGCTTGTAGATAGTAGTTGTTGTAATAACAGTTGCACACGAAGCAACTGACTTATTGCATTCAACATCAGTAGAAAGTGATGAGAAAACATTTGCTGAGAACATTTTCAAAATAAAGTTCAGAAAGCTAAAACAAAGTGAACAAGTTGGAATCTGAATGGAAAGTCATTTAATATGAAAAAGATTTGTTCTTATATGCTTTAAACTTCTCGATCATTTTTGCTCAATGATCAGTGGTCATTTTTAGAACAAAAAAACTCTTTATTTGCTTTAATTAGTACGCAGACACTCTTTGTTTGTTTTAAGTAAGCAAACAGTTTTTGTTTATTCTAAATAGAATAAAGAAGGTGCAATTGACCATTTTTAAGCAAAAGAAGAGTCTTAAAACAAATACTTTTAAAAAATGCAATTTTAAGTTAGATTAACATGCATTTCTCCTATATGGCGCAATACCTTAACTTCAAAAAATCATATCTTAAAAACTACTCGGTATATTATTTAAAAAATTTGGATTCTTACTAATAAAAGAATGCTCTACACGATCGTGACAAAGAAAAAAATATTTACTCGTAGTGTTCTTCTTAGATTACTTCGAACTTCTTCGAACACTGTTCGAAGAAAAGTTTGCCAATATTCAATTTCAAATTTTATATCATTCTAAAGGGCAAGGCCATCCCTTTGGAATGGTCTTTATTTGAAGGAAATCGACCTAAGAATTATTGAGTAATGATTTTTTTAAGTATTTTAAATTCATTTAAATTAGAAAAGTGTGTGGACTTTTTGAATTTTTTTAGTGCCTTTGATTTGTCTCACTGAGACGAACAAAATGATATAAAATTTGTCAAGTTGTCACGACATGAATTTTTTTTGTCGGCCTGTGATAATCACTTTTAAATTTCTCATCTGTGGTAACAAATTCCCGGTTACTAATCGGTGTTGTATAACTTGATTTAGTTTAAGCAGTGTGTTTCTTTTCTCGGTGCTGGTTATGGGATCCGGGGGGACAATTTTCTCCCTGATACAGGCAGGCAATCGGCCGTAAGTCCCCGTAGTCAAGACTTCAACAGCGGCTGGGATATGAAAATTAGGAAGGCGGGCTTGGACCAAAGTATCCCTTGCAATCCTCGACAACATATCTGCTGTCTCAACAAACAACAACGACTGCTTGTCTAGAAACCCCATAATGCGCTAAAACTTGACCATTAGACTCGCCCCCTTGAACTAGAGACAACTTACAGCTGATTTTTCTACTTTAGACGCACTGTTGGCCCACTTGACTAGGGCTAGTAGTCGCACGAATAATTGCCGAGTTCTCGTGGCAAAATTGTAGATTTCGACTTTTCGCTCCATATCGGTTTTTCGTGGTAAACTAGAAGAGAGATTTTCAAATTCGGGGTTAATTTCTTGCAGTACTTACAGCTCGGCCAAGACAGTGAGTTCATGGTAAGTCCGTTGTATAATATAGTCGATTAGCTTGGCGAGTGATATCATGCCGCCGCGGTTGCCTTCCTGGGGGCCTCCGAGGCCCCCTTGCGCGGCAGCATTCGCCACCAAAGTCTGGATTCCTTCCAGAGGAACAGGGGCCATGGTTGAGGTTAGGTTGCGTGTAACTTAATTTTAACACTATTAAACACTTCACTTACTCATTCATTATTCATCTAAGGACCAATTATTACACAATATTGTCATAATTAACGAGTTTTTTAATAATTTCGTTTGGAAAAAAATCACCGAAGCACAACCATTTTGTTTAGGAGCAGGGCTGACATTACCAACGTATACGCGCGAAAGTTACTAACATAATAAGCATAAGGGTTTTAAATGAACAAAAAATTGTTGTAATATTTTAATTTGTACATCCAAAACGTCATCACGCCATTAAACTTGGATTACAATAAAATAAGGGACAAGGATTTTGCTGTGAATTTAAAATAAGTGGAATGTCCTACAAATCTTGTAAAATTCCATATAAAACAAAAACAGTCTGATATTAGTTGAAAAGGCAATGATTATAGATATTTTCGAACGAACTAAATTACATCCATACTTATACGTACGTTAGAAATAATATGTATTCTTAAATCCCTCATTTCACATTCATGAGGAATTAAAAAGAAGAGAATATAAACCGTTAATACAATAATTTGTAACATACAATGTTTTAAGCCACATATTTAATACCTCTATAAAATAAATTAGAATATATGCACATCAGTCTTTTTTAAAAACAATTTTTAAATTAAATAGCTATAACTTGGAACTTTCAACAACAAAAGAGCCGGATTTTTTCATTTTGGCCGTTTCTTCTCCTGGGATCAGCGCTTGTTTATCTAGAGTTTCGTTCGAGACCTCGATGATGGTTTTCTCATCCAAACTCTTGGTATCGCTCATTCCGGAATAAAAAAACTGACTACGCAAAATGGCCGCTTGTGTTTTCCTAGGCTTCTCATCAACGGCGGCCATATCTATGTAAATACTATCGTTGCTCATGGCGTCTGAGACGCGTTCTGACCTCGCCAAGGTCGGTTTCGTTGTGCATCGAGCCCGGAAGCTGCAGCTGCTCCCAATGCTCGTCTTTTCGGCCTGCGAAGCGATGAAACTGACATTGTCGTCGAAACGCACCCTTTCAGAGACGCAATCCTCCGTCGTGACGCAACTGCACGAATCGCTGCCATTGCTCTGAAACACAGTATTACAATTAAACCAAATGCGAATCATATCACAGGGCGACAAAAAAAAAGTCATGTCGTAACTAGAGTATTTGAAGAGTTGGGACACTGAACGTCAAACCGAGCCAATTTTGAATTATGTGGATAAGGTATATACGTTCTCTCCTTTTTTATTAAAATTTTTCGTAGCAACTAATGTCAAGTTTATTTCAAAAATTATTCTAAGGTTATAAATTTTGTCCCATTGACAAATTGACATAATTTTACGTCAGATTTAGTCAGGAATGTAGGAGATAAATAGACAATGAGATGCGGCCAGACAGGAAAAAACTATGTGAACAAAAAGTACACACTAAAGAAAAACAATTGCTGCATGCAGCATTTACCATGAGTAATAAGAACTTGATAGTGTCTCCAGAAAACCTATTAAAACCTGAAACTTACAAAATTAGACCTGACCTGACCTGATAAAATAAAATACTCCATACAACCAAACAATAAGTCCTTGATCTTGTTAAAAGCTTCACCTTCGTTTTTGATAAATCTTACTTTTGGCACCCACTCTTCATTTGGCGGGTTTTAAAGAGGTTCCACTTGTCTTACACTGTCTCGAGCGTTGGGGCAAGGTGGCACAAAAAACTACTCACAGTTTCTTTATGTATTAACACAATAGGACACAGCAGAATTAGTCAGAATGACCAAGGACAGAGGTCAATTTTTATTTGACAAATTTATCTGACTTTATGTGAAATTTTACCAAAACGCCACTGATTTGTATCCCATCTTATTGTTACTATGCGTTAGCCGACGTATATAAAAGAAAAATTAAAAAACTGACATTCAGTGTCCCAACTTCTAATATAGGAACTCTAGTTGTGACAACTTGACAAATTTTATATCATTTTGTTCGTCTCAGTGAGACAAATCAAAGGCACTAAAAAAATTCAAAAAGTCCACACACTTTTCTAATTTAAATGAATTTAAAATACTTAAAAAAATCATTACTCAATAATTCTTAGGTCGATTTCTTTCAAATAAAGACCATTCCAAAGGGATGGCCTTGCCCTTTARAATGATATAAAATTTGAAATTGAATATTGGCAAACTTTTCTTCGAACAGTGTTCGAAGAAGTTCGAAGTAATCTAAGAAGAACACTACGAGTAAATATTTTTTTCTTTGTCACGATCGTGTAGAGCATTCTTTTATTAGTAAGAATCCAAATTTTTWAAATAATATACCGAGTAGTTTTTAAGATATGATTTTTTGAAGTTAAGGTATTGCGCCATATAGGAGAAATGCATGTTAATCTAACTTAAAATTGCATTTTTTAAAAGTATTTGTTTTAAGACTCTTCTTTTGCTTAAAAATGGTCAATTGCACCTTCTTTATTCTATTTAGAATAAACAAAAACTGTTTGCTTACTTAAAACAAACAAAGAGTGTCTGCGTACTAATTAAAGCAAATAAAGAGTTTTTTTGTTCTAAAAATGACCACTGATCATTGAGCAAAAATGATCGAGGAGTTTAAAGCATATTAGAACAAATCTTTTTCATATTAAATGACTTTCCATTCAGATTCCAACTTGTTCACTTTGTTTTAGCTTTCTGAACTTTATTTTGAAAATGTTCTCAGCAAATGTTTTCTCATCACTTTCTACTGATGTTGAATGCAATAAGTCAGTTGCTTCGTGTGCAACTGTTATCACAACAACTACTACCTACAAGCTAACTGAAGCTAATCGTACCAACAACATAAATCAGGTGACTTATTGCATTTAACATCCCTCGAAAGTGATGAGAAAGCATTTGCTTAAAACATTTTCAAAAAAAGTTCAGAAAGATAGAACAAAGTGAACAAGTCGAAATCTGAATGGAAAGTGATTTGATTTGAAAAAGATTTGCCCTTATATTTAAGACTCGTGCCTTAAACTTCTAGATCCTCTTTGCTCAATGATTAGTGGTCATTTTTACAACAAAAAAACTCTTTATTTGCTTTAATTAGTACGCAAGTACTATTTATTTGTTTTAAGTAAACAAACAATTTTTGTTTATTCTAATTAGAACAAAGAAAGTGCAATTGACCATTTTTAAGCAATAGAAGAGTCTTAAAACAAATACTTTTATAAAAATGCAATTTTAAGTAAGATTGCATGTTGCATTTCTCTTGTATGGAGCAATGCTTGATTAGCAAACCTTAACTTCAAAAAATCATATCTTGGAAACTACTCGGTATATTTTTTGGAAAATTCGGATTACAACTAATAAAGAGATGCTCTACACGATGGTAATGATTTCAAAAAAAAGTTCAGAAAGCTAGAACAAAGTGAACAAATTTGAATCTGAATGGAAAGTGATTTAATTTGAAAAAGATTTGTTCTTA